GGGATGCGGATTCGAACTCGCGACCCTCATATTGCGAGTCGAGCGCCTTATCCACCTGGCCATGCCGGGCACTCAGGCTGACGGGACACACCGTTTGTAGTGTTAAGAAATATAATAGGCCTAAAACTAATGTCTTACGACGAGCATAATTAAGATTTTGTTAAGTCTGACTCTTATCCTCGAAATATACAGTTTATAGCGAGTCATCTATTTAACTTAGATTCCATATGTTTTACAGACTGTCGAAATGGGTCAAAACGAATATCATTCGACGATATCAGTATCGACATGATAAAAGAATGATATGAAATAAATACATTTATAAAATCCAGATATTTAAGTAGTTTTAGTGGAACTTTAGGTAGACAAAGTAGGTTTACAATCTTTAATTGGTGCACTGCCTGTTGAAAGAAAAATGGACGTCGTTTCTCGGCTTCTATACTGAAAAAGGTCTCGGTATAAAAGCCGAAACGTCGCCCCTTTTTTTCTCTGAACTACATATATTTATTTACAGGGTTAATGTAATCAATTAAATATCTTACGATACGAATTTTTTTAATGAAAATTTAACGTTTTCTTTTCTGTCGCTGTACTATCAAATCTCTTTCAGAAAATCCAGTGGATAAAAAAAAAATCCAATTTTGAAGTTACTCAAACATGTTCAAAAACTTTAGATGAACTTTCACGTAGTTAGTTTACTTGTAATTTACTATTTCATCCAATTTTCTAAAAAGCTGGTTATAGTGTTACATATTGATGACAAAATGCGGGTGTGGTGATCATTTACTAACATGAGTGTATGTACGAAAAGGTAAATGAACTTATCCAAATGAAGGCGGTTGGTAAGAGATCATTTAAATCCAAACACAGCTACATTTAACAGGAGGCTGGTAAGAGATCATTTAAATCCAAACACAGCTACATTTAACAGGCGGCTGGTAAGAGATCATTTGAAATCCAAACACAGCTACATTTAACAGGCGGCTGGTAAGAGATCATTTAAATCCAAACACAGCTACATTTAACAGGCGGCTGGTAAGAGATCATTTAAATCTAAACACAGCTACATTTAACAGGCGGCTGGTAAGAGACCATTTAAATCCAAACACAGCTACATTTAACAGGCGGCTGGTAAGAGACCATTTAAATCCAAACACAGCTACATTTAACAGGCGGCTGGTAAGAGACCATTTAAATCCAAACACAGCTACATGCAACAGGCGGCTGGTAAGAAATCATTTAAAAAACAGGCGGCTGGTAAGAAATCATTTAAATCCAAACACACCTACATTTAACACTTGTAACTGTCAAAAAACTTCTAATTTCACCGATTTGGCTGAATGAATAAATGCATACGTGTGTGTGTGTGTGTTTATTTATTCATTTGTAACCACCACCAGAAGCCGCTTCTGCGATGTCTCTATCAATGTAGAATAAATAAATAAATATATATATATATATCCTTGTTTGTATGCACAAAGCTACACAATGGGCTATCTGTGCTCTGCCCACTACGGGTTTATAAAATCATCGTTGCTTCAGTTAGCACTATAAAAGTAAAAGAATAATTTATTATTTTAAAAACATGGGGCTTATTTCGTTGGCTCTAATGATGATAAGATGATCATATATTGTTTGGTAATACATAGAATACTTCTTCACTGGATTACGGGTTTATTATTTCTTCATTCTTCGTGTTTATTATTTTATATTTGATAATTAAGAGTTTCTGCTGGCAGTATAAAGATTATCGAAAAAAATCGTGCGTTGGCGGAGGGCGGTGTTGAGGTTATTCCTTAAAAACTAGAGACAGCTAGCATAGATAGCCTTGCAATACTTTAGCACGAAATTCAATAACGATAACAACACCCCGAGGAAAGATGCTCGTCCGAAACGATGCGTGTTGGCTCGACCGAAACGACGAGTGTTTGGTCAACATTGATCAACATCCTACACTGAGCACTAATAGCTTACAAGTAAATCTAACTATAGCTCGTAAATTCTACGCTAAAGAAACCTACACATTCAATTATAATAACATATTTTTGAAGTCATCGGAGCTATATATCGTCCTTTGTTGTCATGAAACACTATAGTGGTTCATATTAGGTTTCTCCCAGGAATTTCACAAAAAATCTAACTGACCATACGGGTAAAAACATCTTAGAAAGTAGACTTATTCTTGAAACGACACTCAAGACTTTCTATCACAATGCCTATGGCTGCTAAAATATTGATAATAGGAAAAAAAGTTGATTTTCTGATTGTTAGACAAAATTCATCTATTTGTTATTCATATTATTATTATTATTGTTTCACAAGTATACAGAAAAAAAACGGCTGTGTATAATACACCAAAACCTAAGTGGATATACTACATGAAATTAAAATTGATAATTGCTATAGATATGGAGTCAAAATAGGAATTTGTAGCTTGAGAAAACAGTGTAGACAGTATTTCCAGCCTAGTTCTTTTTTTTGTAAAGTCCCTAGTTGTAGGCTTAAAAATATAATCTTTACATTTTGCTTCCACTCGTTCCTGTACTTTTTTTTGACGATCTTTATTCCCCTTTTTAAATTAATAATTTTTAATTATCTTATTTATTTGCGAGTTTCTTATCTAACTGTTCTTCAGTGTGTGCCTAAACATACGGTAATCTTGTAATTTATAAGTGACTTATAAAATGTATCTGATTCATTAATATTATCTTAAATATACTCTGATATTATTTATTTAAAACTAAAGGTGTTAATTTTTGTATTAATTATGGATGTTTCAGTGTATTAGTTTCCAGTATAATATCTTAGAGTGCACGCAGAACTTAATGTACTGCCAAATCCAAACGTACGTTGCTGTTGTTGTTCTTTTTTGCTGCTTCCTCAGTTTCAACTTAGAGTTATTACATCTCTTAGAGTATTACTGATAAAGAAAAACAAACAAACACAGATTTCCAAATTATATTATATTATCCCGCCAAAAATTACACCACAATTCAGACCACGGTGGTGAAAATTACACTGATATAAGCTTAGCATTATTACACAGCTTGTTATAGCACTAACACACACCGCCTTAGGTTGTACCTGAACAAGATGAGGCATTGATGTAAAGATAAGTATGGAAAAAAGGCAACGATATGATATTAACTGACCTTATTTCTAACAACATTCATCAATGCTAGTTCAATGTTTATTTTCATTAGCATGATATCAGCTAATTTATACGAGTAATCCCAATTCCAAATAGAAGAATGAGAAGAAATAGGATTAGTACGGTGTTATTTTCACAATGTCTTCGCACACCTCCTCCTGTATCGGCTGCAAAATAGAAAAACAGAGAGTGAATGAAAGAAATAAAACTGAGATTGCACTTTGCGCAAATAAACAAATTTTCCCTAAAATAAGAAACTTGGGATATCAACAAAATTAAAGCTAATTAACAATGTGAAGAACTCTACACTAAACTAAGCTAATTAACAATGTGGAGGTGAGAGAACTCTAAGCTAAACTAAGCTAATTAACAAT